GAGTGGTGAGGGGATCTTAACCCTTTGACTTGGTTTTGTCAGCACCACACTCTCCCAAGTGAGCTAACCGGCCATCCCTATATAAGGATCCCAACACTTGGCCTTGGTGTTATCAGCACCACACTCTCCCAAGTGAGCCACGGGCTGGCCCCTCTAATTCATTAATGTTTTCAAGTTTATGTTCATTTGTATATATGATATAGCTGCTGTGAGGTCGGCTTTGGAACAAGCTGACCTGATCAAGTGGAGCTGCTGTGGTGTAAATGGCGGTCTTAGAGGATTGCACCCTTCCAAGTCAGTCTTTAAATGTAATGCCTAAGTTTGCATACCATTTGTCTGGCTTCAGTGGGACCATTCATCTTCTGGTTTCCATGACTGATGCAAGTAGTCCTGAAAGATAACTTCCACCATATTTAATTCTACTACTGAAAAATTTTGTAGTGAACCTTATGATAGAATTGACTCTCCCATTAACTGGAAGGGACTTGGGTTAGCTTATCAAATCTCTGACTTTTGGTGTCAAGTTTGAAATGCCATTTAGAAAGTACACCTTGAATTTTACTATATCATCTAAAATTTAATAGGCAGGTCAAGGGAAAATGAGGAACACTTTTAAAAAGACAAGTGAACAAATACAATATTGATGGGGGAGGGGAGAAGGGGGGAGAGAAGAAAAGGAGGAATTGGTAAAGGGACATGAAAATCAAATATATTGTATATTGATAAATTAAAATAATAAAAAAAAGAAAAAAGAAACTGATTTAAAGGAGATGGTGACAGATTCGGTTTGGAATCTCTAATTTTAGGTACTTTGGAACTTCCAGGTGCAGATATTCAACAAATTGTTGGATATATTGATATTGGTCTGAAATTTAAAAAAATACATCTAAAGATACAAATTTCAGACCCATCAGCACTGAAGTGTAACTAAAATAAGGATGGATAAGATCATGTAGGGAAAGAGTACACAGTTAGAACAGTGGTAGCCTGAGATGGAAGCAAGAAGAACACTAATATTTAAGAGGTAGGTTAAAAAAGAAGAGAAGAGAAAAAAGAAAATCTGAAAGGAAAAGAAAAGGAGTGGTCAGAGGAGTCTGGGGGAAATTAAGAGAGTGTTATGCCATGAAGGACAAGAGAATTTTGTAGAAGTTATCATTGGAATTGAATGCAAAACAAAGGTCCAAGAAATGATCACTAAAATGGCCACCGGATTTGATGGTCTAGAAGTCACTGACTATCTAAGCAAGATATCATTACATAAGATGCAAAGCAAACTGCTGTAAAATTGGGGTGTCTGAGAAATAAAGTGGAGATAGGACATGTCACTATTTGCAAGGAGTCTTCAAGAGGTTTAGAAGAAGAGCAAAAGGAGATTGGACTACACTTTCTAAGAAATGCTGGGCCCAAAGAGAGTCAGTAAAATGAGAGTTATTTCCAGTTCTAGCACCACTAGAAATTAAAGTTCTACTACTACAAAGCCTTAGAGAAACGAGTGTGGTTCGCAGACAAAAGACAAACATTGCATGCTACCTACCAAAAGTTGAGAATTCCATGTACTTAACAAGAACAACAAAATTAAACTGTGCCAAGGGATTGATCTCCAATAAGAAAAAAATAACAAAGATAATATTCACAGGGATCAAGTCCTGGCTCTCCTACTTTGTAGCTGTATGATCTTGGGCAAGTTGCTTAGTCCCTTGCCTCTCAATTTCCTCATCTATAAAATGGGGATAATAATAGTAGTTATTGCATAAGTTTTATGAGAAATAAGATACCGCATGCAAAATGCTTATCACAGTGCTGGCTTAGAGTAGGAACTCAAATTTATCTTTATTGGGGACAACAGACAAAAATTATATACTGCTTAAAGAACTTCACTTTTTAAGAGGCACGTTCAGTTCATTTTTGACAAGTCCTCATGGCATCCTGATTTTACAGGTTCATAATTAGCTTCAATAAATAGGTCACTATTAGTCCACATGGGGGGGGGGAACACTGTAGATAAACACATTACACTAAATATATGTATGTATCCTATAAGTCAGTAAAAGGAAAACCAAGCACTCAATTGTGATTTTAAATTCTAAAGAATCCTCTTCAATGGCATTGAAGTACACCTCTCATTAATTTCTGTAACAAAGTATACACTACAGAGACTTGTTCATCTTTGTGTCAAAAATGAATTAAACATAACTCTGAATAGTAATAAGTGCTGTAATGTTGTCTCCCTTTTTAATTTACATGTGCAGTAGTCTTTAATGATACAGTATATAACTCTTCCAGCCAATCCAAAGAAACAAAAAGATTCAATTATTCCCCAGATCTACAACAGTTATATTTCCCTTATATATCAGAATTTCATTACTGCAGAAACATAAAAAGTCAGCATACAGTAAAAGATCTTATGATCAATAATCAACATGTTCAAGTATCTGAGAGAAATGCATAAAAATACATAAAAGTTCATAATATATAGCCTTATTACTGCTAAGAATGCTCTCACCTTTTAAACAAAACAAAACAAAAAAACCTTCCTTTCAATAAAACAAGGAGTAAAACATCAGTAAAACTCTACATCAAAATAATGAAAATACACATCAATTAAAATGTCAGTAAGTGATTTGAGTTGACATGATAATTTAAGAAAATATCAAGTATGCAATTTGGTAGTTATAGTAAATGTACATGGTGGCCAAATATACATTCAGAAACTTCACACATAGATCTTTAATTTAGTGACACAGTTCCTAGCAAAAGTCCTTAAGACTTTTTTTCTCCACAAATAAGTCTATTCAGCAAAAACATTATTTCTTGGAGGAATTAACTTGACCACAAATGAGTATACAGTTAAACATCCTCAGTGCACATCCTCATTGTCTTTTCTTTTTTCCTCTCCTCTACACTTTAAATACAATACTCACGAGATAGCCAAAAGCATCAGGAAGCATGGAACTGTGATTTATGTCTTAGAAAATATTTGACAGGTATTAAGTAATTAAAACTATGTTTGGTTTTTAATGTTAAAAAAAGTTAATTCAGTTTGTAACATCACAGTAAAGAGATGAAATCATTTTTCCCTTATTTAGTAAAATCTCCCTACATAAAGCTAAACAGCAAGAAAAATTCTCACTATATAAAAATCAAACATGAAAATAAGGCTCCCCCACCCCCATCTCAGAATACTATGCAATAATTGTACTGAAACACTAAAAAATAAAGTGCCATGCTAAAGATTAAACAGCATTCTCAGAAAAAAACACACATAAAACCCATTTCACATAATTGTATTACATCATATACCAAATTGCTAGTTATTCCAGGTATTGTAAATGATACTTATCAATTAATAAAGTCAATAAATCCCCCCCCCCCAAATTTTTCCTCAGTCACTCAGAATAAGCAGAACTATTATGCTATGTGATAAATTAGAGGTAAAACAGTGTTATGTGCTGAAGTGAAGGGTAAAGTGGCAGGGTCAAGATATCTTTGAGATCCTCCTCAAAATAATTTTGCCAGAATTGCAATAGTCAACACAAAGGAATGAAGGAGTTACCCCCAGGTCCGGATGGAGCACTGTTTGTACCAATCACTGTCTAGCTACTACTGCTCCTTTTGTGGCAGAGCTAGACCTTTACAAAGAAGTGATTCTTTGGTTGAATCAGCAACAACCTAGACTCAACATGTAATGGGAAACACAATTTTTTCTTACATTTTGAATAAATTTAATTCCTGGTAGCAGTCAATGAAAATATCAACACTGATTAATCAGTGTTATATAAATGTACTTACAGGCATTGCATATGAACACCAGAAAACTTGTACATTCACTTTTTTCCCTAAGATGACATTGAGCTAAACGTGTGAAACAAAGCAAATACCTTTAAAAGTTAAACTTCTATGCAGATAATACCTATCATACCACATCTTTTACTTTAGTTAGCAAAAGATAATCATAAAGGAGAAAAATCCATTATGAAAACTAAATGCAGTTACTTCCCTTGGGTTTCTTTTCTTTTTCTACTGGATTCAATCAAGAAGCATGTTTCACATCTCTCTTGATGCGGTGTTCTTACCAGAGAACCTGCCCAGACCCAATTTCATTTTCTAAGTGGAGCCTGTTACCCCTCCCCCAGCTCCAACACACAGGTTTCCTGTTTGGATGCCTAGAAGGAGTAGTACATCTTCAAACTGAAGGAGCAGCCAACAAGAAATTCACCAAATCACTAAGTCTAAGGGCCAGCAGCACCTCGCCTCCTCGGAAAGCTCAGGAGCCAGCTAAAGAAAAATCGAGGGTAGGGGGAGCGTTATCAGAGGAAAGAAACCAATTTGCCCAGGTGAGGTTGAGGTGGAGAGAATGAGAATAGGGAAGCAGACAGGTGACGCAGCGAGGGCGGTCACCTGTGGGGCTACTTGAACCAGCCCCGCCCCTAGGGACAGCAGCCAAAATCGCGTCCGGAAGCCCCCAAAAGAACCTGGGGAAAGGCAGAGCTGTGCTTTTTAAGCCAGGCCTCGAACTCACCATCCACGGTTTTCTTCTTGAAGAGGGACGCCATGGTCAGGGACCGCACCCGGGCGGCCCGGTTCGGCCCGGTCCGGCCCGAAACTGGGAAACGACAGGAGCAAAAGGACAGGCCCTTGAAGGGTTCGAGGTGGCGGAGCGGAGGGGCAGGAGAAGAGGGCGGGTTCTCCAGGCAGGAC